CCGTAATTACATTGAGCCTTATGGGAAAATTTGATTCAGGACGCGACCAAAATCGGTTGGTGACCAAATTTGGAGAGGTCAGAACGGATTAACCGTAATTACATTGAACCTTATGGGAAAATTTGATTCAGGACGCGACCAAAATCAGTTGGTGACCAAATTTGGAGGGGTCAGAACGGATTAACCATATTTACATTGAACCTTATTGGAAAATTTGATTCGGGTCGTGACCAATTCGGGTCGCGACCAGAGTCGCAGAATGAATTAAGTTCGTGAACCGAGATACCACTGTATAGGCTAGTTATGTGAATTTGCTAGCATAAGACGGATCATTTTCATCCAGGAATTCACTTTACGTAAAAAAAGAAAAATCACTCTTATTCGATTTGGACCAGCATAGTCAATTTTGTGCCAAAGGTCTGGAAACATGTCGGGATGTCTCCCTGCCGAGACTGTTTGAATATTTTCTTGCCAAAACACTTTATTGCCTTCACTCACACATTGTTCTATTTGTGCATCCTCTCTCCCACTTACTTCTGTACCTGTAATAGCTATTACTGTTGTTATAGGTGAAATGGCCATCAACATCTTGTCCAACTCCCTTACACAAAATGAAAGGAGAAAGAACCTAACAGTAAAAACAAAGTTGGACATATTACATCATGCCAAAGCTGATGAAGGATCCTCATCTCTAGGATGAGCTTTTAACCTGGGTTAATCTATTGGGTGCAACATAACAAAGAATGCTAATAACATTCATAATGCCATGGTGCATACCTCTTTGTCTGCCATGATAACCATGTGCATTAGAAACCCAGCTATAGAAAAGATGGAGAAAATGCTTTCACTGTACATAGAACACAAGACAAGGAACAAAACATGTTTGAGTAACACAATTCTTAGGAATAAGATTCTAAAAATTTATGGGAACAATTGTCAATGCATTTGGATTACACTATTTAACATCATAGCCCACAACTCCCTTTTTTACATGGCTTATGTATTGTTTTATACAAGGCTTTGAGGAAATGTAATCCTAGCATGAAGCAAGTGAAGCCTCTATATGCAGCGTATTAAATTTAGCAGGCGCTTGACAGAATATACATGTAGTTTAACAAGCCACAGAATACGTACCACCCACCCCGCTAAACTCCATCAGCATACAGAGTGCAGATGATGAAACTGTACTTCAGCACACCCAGAGGGAATAGATGGGGGAGAAAGATTGGTGTAAGCCTTCAACACTGATTTTGTTCATCATAAGATTTTGAAACCATGAAGACAAGTGGAAGTTTGTCAAAGGATTATGACAAACCTCTCTTATGTTTTGTTTTCAATATATATTAAACAGATGGGTATGATGAGAGGTCACCAACGTTTAAGCAAGGAAGTCATTGAGGAAAGAAAATAGAACCCTTTCTGACTCCTTTTGTGTTGTAAAGGGAGATGAATTAAATTGGCTTGGATGTGTTAATTCAGACGTTCCAAAGAGGGCGTGAAAGACTGCTTTTTCAGAAACAACATTCATAGCATGAAGGCAATAAATGGAAAATACTGGGTTAGATACATGGTCAGGAAAGAAGTCCCTTTTTATAGGCAAAGAATCCAGTTGTAGCCAATGAGGTGATGAAAGTAGACCATCCAAGGAAGAGCAGCAGTCCGGGAACAGATGGCAAATTTCTCTCCCAAAATGTAGTGGTAATTGGGAGCGCCGGAACCTCCTAGGATGGAGCACATTAATTGTTAGAGCAGGGCAATCTGAGCAACTTAAGCTGCAAAATAGTGCAGTTTTATCAGGAAGCTTCCCTACCTCAGTTGAATCCTATTTAATTCTATGCAAATGCACACTCAGATACACTTCATTTTTAGAAACTGCAGAAATGCAATTGAGCATCTATTGTCTACTTCTGAACTGATGCCACATAAGAAATTGGTTCCCAATTCCTATTATTAGCTACTTGGTTTATTACTGCAAAACACTGGAAAATTAAAATACACATTTCACTGGATCGTATTTATAGGTATGGCACATCTTCCTCCTCATCAAAAAACAGTGAGTTTTGGAATACTTACAGTTAAAGATAAATAAATTCACATCTGGTTACCACTAATTAGGTCTATTACAGCCACTCCTCATTTAGCAGCTACCTCGTTTAGCAACTGTTCACAAATATGGTAATAAATGTTAGTAAAAAAAAAATCATTTTCCGACCAATGCACACACTTACAACCAAATTTCATGTACCTGACAACAACGCACGCCAGAATAAGAGTAAGACTGGCATAGCTGTACCAGAGAACTTTATTTGAATGAGATGGTAGCAACCAGTGATCTTGACAGTGTCTCTCTGTCACATATTTGCTTAGTGACTATTACGCTTCTGAAATATCACGAATATTTGTCCTGACAGATCACCTTGGTCTGTACAAATGTCATTCTGGACAGTAATACTTCATATGGATTGATTAAAAAGCTTCTATTTCTCCTTAAGATCATATATCTATTAATATATTTATATGTGTTTCTGAGTTTGTAGCCTTAAGTTTCTATTCCCCCTCACCCTTTTTTTCTTTTAACTTTTTTAGTTCTTATTTTGTTTTTTCAATCTGAAAACAAAGAAAATGAAAGAGGCAAAAAGGAGTGTGACCAGTTCAAATTTTGATTCCTCAAAACACTGTTTTAACATGTGCTGAATAATGGCCAAAAAAAAAAAAATGCTAAGAGACTTTCTGGGAGAACATAAATGAACTTAGGAAAAGGAAATAGCTATATAGTGAGAGTACAGGTACAGGTGGGCAATATGAAAAGCAGGGTAGGAAAAAGGTGAAGTACTCCTGCCTTGAACTTAACTCAGATATTCATATTCATAGCTAGAGGAAGGAAAGAGAAAAGAGATTTTGTCGTTTTATATGAACCAGCCCATATATTTCTTTAGTAGAACTCATTGTGTCCATCTATTAAATGCACATCTGAGGATGCTTCCTATCAGTAGCAGCAATGGACAAAAAACCCCTTCTATTTCTTTGATATCTACTCTCCATCTTCCTACCATAATACCTCTGCACCAAGTTGCAATGGTATCATAAACACTTAGAGTACCTTCAAAGCTATGTATTTATATTCATTTTCTATGTATGTGTGAGATGGTGGAAAAAGTAAAATGCTGCCAGAAATAGAAAGATTTTCAACTGTGGCTGTCTCTGTTCATAATAAATGCATTCTATAAATACATTCTCTACAAACTGGGTTAATATATCTGTTCTTAAGTCCACAGTCAATTTTCCATTAGGCATCTTCATCTTCCGTTAGGCTTAAAAATTAGAGTGCTACAGTCATATATACAGGCAATATATGAAGAAAGTATTCAGAGTTCTTAGAAGATCATTTGTGAGAACACTTGCCTTTGATTCTGGTTCTGGTACCCAAATTTCATCCTTTGAAATTTTTCCCATGATGTACAATATCTGGAAGAGAAAAGTTGCATTCCGGTAACAATAATCCTTTTTATATCACACACATCATGCAATTGGAATGGAAGAGATAAAAATATTGCCAAGAGAACATTTATCTACTGTATGTGCAATACAGATGCTATTTGTTTATGCTGAATTCCCAAACGACAAAAGTAATGTCTGAAACAGGGAAAGCAAATAGCATTGACTTCTGGGGAAGTAAAGCACTCATGTGGTAAGTATCTCATTTTCTGACCTTTCCATATAATTCCCAGATTCAAATATCACCAGTATGGCTGTGATGGGAGACTAGACAGCCTGGAAAAGTGGTAACACCACAAGAGGTAACCCATCACCCCTTAGGAGAAAGACACATAAGAACCAGTTCCAAGTTCACCATCCTATATCCAGGTCTTCCAGATCAGTCCAAATACAGTGTGTTCATAGTAGTCATGGTATTTACAAAATAAGTCCAGATGAAACTGGGGGCACATCCATCATATTTGCTACCTTCCTCCTGTTCTAGATCTGAGAGGGACTCCTTTGACCCTAAGCTTTGCTACCTCCACAGCCTAGTATCATGCAATTATTTTGGCACTGTTCCGTTAATACTGATGGCTACTCCATTTCTTCTATGGTCTTCTTGTCCACAGTAATAGATCTGTTACTCCTTTGATGGTAAATGACCCATTCCAGTCCATTTTAGTTTGCTGTCTTTCAGAATATCAGTGTTCAGTCTTGACATTTCTGCTCTAACAACTTCAACTTTGCCTTTGCTCATGGTATGCATGAACTACATCCCATCTACCAAGGATATACATATCCTTGCAGAAAACAGGTGGTATAGAAGACTGCAAAAGCTTTAAATTAAATAGCCTCTTCATATCATTCAAGTTGTTCAGGCTTACTAAATTAGCACTCTGGTTGAAAAATTAAGCTAGGCATGAAAAAATGCTTTGTCTTAGCAATTTTAGTAATGTATGAAAAAACTGTCACAGTATCTTGTTGTATATTTCATTGGCCTTTGGTCCTTCTAATTTGAAATGTCTTTTTCTTTAGTACAGCAATATTGAAAATATCAGTGCCAAGTTACCAATCTCCTTTCAAATAAAACTAGTTTAGTTGGGTCCTTAATGAAGGTGGTAAATAGTAGTGGTTCTGTTTACCTCTCTAGCAGCTCTCTCTCCAGCCTGCACAGCTCCTTCCATATAGCCACTCCACTGGGTTGCTGTCTCAGTGCCAGCAAAGTAGATTCTACCAGCTGGCTCACGTATTATTCTTTAAAGAAAACACATACAAATAAAATGGAGATAGTAAGCTCACTTGTAGCTAGTATGCTTTTATGAACAAAAACAGGTGCTAGTGCTATCTTAAATTTTCCATGAACTTTGACTAAAGTTTTGTTTCAAGGAACATGAACATTTTGCAACACCCTTTCTGTGTGTGTGTGTGTGTGTGTGTTTATTCATTCATTTATTTATTTATTTATTGTGGTGACTTTCTCATACTTAATCAAAATGAACACCCAGTATGCTGGGTTTTCAAGAGTAGAAGGGAAGTGGTACATCTTTGCTACCCATTTGTCTTATCATGCTGCTATATGCACCAAGCAGTAAGACTTTTTCCACAACTCAAATCTGTCATGAATAAACCTTTAATCCCAGCTACATCTGGGATGCTGGCAGACCTAGATTGGGAAGAATACTGGTATTGCCTTATACTTCAAGATCTACTTCATTCAAAGGCTGTCTTTTTCACAAATCAGTGAAGACAAAAGGAATGCATGGAGCAAAGCATCTGCTTATTTTGCAATGGCACTATTAAGTACCTGAATTTTAAATGTAGCCCAACTCCATCTGAAAGAAAGTGAAGCCATTCATTTATTTATCTTTCTTCCTTCCCACCTTTATTTTCCCAGAACAGCAAATACACTATCCTAAGGCATTACCACTTCAGCAATTTCCATATGATTCCAAGTGCATATCCACAAATAATCTGTAGTTAAACCCTGTTTTTGTATTTGAGTTTCTTCTATTCAACAGCACTAAAGTCAAAAGCACTAGCTGTAACTTTATTATTGCCAAATATGTAATATTTTTTATAAACCTTTCTTTCAAATGTGAGATTAGCTCACTTTTCTGGTAGCTGTAAAAATCCAAGATTTGGGTAACAATGCCGAGAGAGAGAGCGAGAGAGGGAACACTATTATCTTGTTTTACCTTCCATATTGGGACATAATGCCTGGTGGAAAGTACGCTGTATAACAGCCTCCAGAATACTGTTCTGTACTCCAGTTCTTTTCTTCATAATGCACTGGCTGTAAGAATAAACCAAGATGAAAAGTAAAGCAAATTTTAAAAACAAAAAAAAATGATGGCAGAGTTAAAATTAGGATTACTAGATATTTTCTCAGTTTGACTACATAGAAGCGGAGTCATACAAACTGAACAGTACTGGGTTAAACTTCACAGCCTACATGCCGATAGAGCTCTGACTCAACAATTTGGAAGCTAGATGTCATGCTTCCTGGCTAGTGAATAAACAATTGTGCAGCACAAAGCTTTGTTTTTCCAAGAACTGGTAGATAATGTTTATTGTTGCAACTTTTTAATGAAGAGAATCTGTAATTTCCAGAACTCATACTCTTTTCACATATTATAGTCCCATGGTGAGGAATCAGAAGTTATGTCCTATAGGTTCCAGCATAATATTCAGGAGAGAAGTGCAATTTTTCCCATTGGGAAAGAAAGTGAGTATTTTGATGAAAATAGAACATCAACCTGTTGTTTAATCTGTTGTAATCTTAATCATATCAATTTTAGAAGTTAGTTAGTCTTGTTCACTGAGTTCAAAAGCACCAGGCGGTTCTAGTGAGTTCCCATAAATGTGAGAAATTGTGGAGAGGCTGGGAATGTAACAAAAGAGAGTTTAGACATGAACAATCAAGAGAAAGAATACAAGTCTATTGGTAGCTTATCTTGTAAATACAGTACCAACTCAGGTTGCAAGGAAGAACTGTTTCAAATAATTCAAAGAGACTCCACCATAATGAAGTCACTAAAAATTAGATTGGAAATTCTTGGAATTTGCAAGATTTGGTACAGTATTTGCCCCAAGACTAGCAATAAAGATACCTTACTGTAATTCTTGTGTTCTTGCTCTTGCTCAGCTGTGTGGTGCTTGACACTAGTAAACAGCTTTAGGAGTTAAGAATAATTGTTCTTTTCTGCTGCCAAATGAAAGTGCAGAAACCCAAAAAGAGGAGAGGGGGCAGAAATGTATGGAACAGTGAGGACACAACTATGGGGAGAATGTAACTTTGGTACAATTCATAGCTTTGAAACTGGCAGTTGAATATTACATTTGTTCAACCACAAAATATTGCCCCACATTCTTAAGTTTGCAGTAAGTATTGCAAAGTCCAAGAACACTGCTGTAGCATTTAGCTGCCTTTAGAAAAGCAGGCAAACTATATTTGATTTGTTGATAAATCTTTGCAGAACACGATGATTCACCCAATTTAACTCAGTCAGTTGTCGTACAGAAAACTGGTGAAACTACTAATCCAGACAACATCAGGGACAATCAAGAAGCAGTTTTAACCCAAAACTGTATCAGAGCAATTTTGACTCAAACTGCTATTCTCTAGTCAGTGTGTCATGTGAGATGTAGTCAATTGTGGGGCAGTGACCAAATTTTGCAAACCAAACCTCCAGGAAATGAGATGGAAATGTATAATGAACTCTCCATTACAAAATGTGCTGTTGAGGCCTGACAACAAAGAAAATGCCTGACAACAAAGAAAATGCCTCCCAAACATCTTGATGCAATGCTGTGCAATAGGGAAGGGACAATTTATATAATAAGTGTTGGCGCAAGACTTCATAGGATATTAGGTAGGAATGGAGGAAGTGAATATGGCCTGCATATTTCCCAAAATAACACCCTTTGACCCAGCTAGCATGGTTATATATTGCTGGGTCCAAAGACAAAGCTATGAAAAAGCTAGTGGCTGACTGGTTTAAATGTGCTGTGTGAATCCAGCCAATGGATGCAAAAAGACTCCTCCAGCAAACAGCAAAATGATCAGATAGATCTCCAAGCCCAAATCCTATCTCCCAAGGCCGCATCTCATTTTCAGCAGTCCAGCCAAAGCTCACAGTTTTTTGTCAAACTCCTGTCTCTAAGAGATTCTAGAAATCACAAGGCATTACGCTTCTTCTGTTAAGCCATCATTTTGTTGCAGGTGGACTTACTCACAGTTATCAAAAGGGTTAACTTCATAATAAAAGACTATTCTTTCTAGTTACCCAAAAGTACCAGTACTTCAAATTTCCCGCCCTGCAGCATGATCTTCAAATCCTTCCCCCACTTCTCTATCAGCCCAAATGTACCTTCCACTGTGTACCTGAAATGCTTGGGAAAAAGCATCATTGCGTTGATCCTTCAGGATTTTATTCAAGAAGCTGTATTAAATAATTTTAATATGAGCATATACCCCAAATGTTCACATGGCCTGATCATAACGTTGTAACAATCAACACTCCACCAATTTTAGATGTTCTTCCTTACATGTAAAGCTTCTTCTGATCCCAGCACTTTAGCGTACAGTTCACAGATTTTTCTCTTTCTACGTAAAGAATGACAATGTTTAAAACTAACCTAAATTCATCATTAGCTTTTAAATTAACATCACAAGGCATTCAGTTTTGGCAGTATAGAAATGAGATGAATAAATAGATAAGTAAATAATACAGTTAAGCCACAATAGAAGTCAACTTTTGATACATAAATGCGTAATTCCAGAAATATTTATTCTACACTACACTGAAATTCACACACAAAAGTAGCAGATTTCCCCATCATCTTCAGTACTGCAGTACTGTTGGGGAGGGGTGCATCAGGAGCACTTCCATTTTCTCCTCTATCCCTTTACTATAACCCTCTGGTTATATGGTGAAATTCAAGATACCAGCTTTCCTCCTCCGAAATAAGTTCCCACATATGGGAAATCTGGATTAATAGCTTGTTATGTGAAGTTATTCTCTTGCAGCAGCAAGGGTGGAAAGCAATATTGTAGTTGCAGATTAATACAGAATTTATTATTGTTAGAGAATAAAAAACAAACTTTTAAATTAGAAAAGCTTCCAAAAGCTGCTGCTTCTTACCTCTCTTCTTTGCTAACATTTGCTAGTCTAAAGGCTTTTCTTGTAAGGATAAATCTAAATAGAAAAAGAATTGTCCATCAGTATTGCATAAATGAGCATATCTCAATGCAACTCACATGAACAATATTTGTCTTCCAAGAAAATACATACATACATACATACATACATACATACATACATACAACCAATGTAGTTTTTGCATGGCACTTGTTCAGCCACAAATATAGCAGAAAGTTAAATGCATAGCTGGCATTCTCAAACTGTAGATTGAGACTCCCTCTCTTTCCAGGACCAAAGGCAAATGTGAAGGCCTCAGAGTTTTTTTGGGCTTGCCCAAACTGGATCCCTGTGAGACCTTTGTTCCTGCTCTTGGGTAAAGGGAAAAGCTCCATGCCCAGCTAAGAGCAGATCAGGGCAGCAGCAGTGGGAAGAGAAGAATCACTTCAACATCCATGGTAAAAGGTAGTTTCCAGCTGCACCATCCCATCCTTGCCAAGCAGCTGCAGAAGGCCAGTGGGCTGTGCACATTGCTTTCAAAAGTAGGCATAGAGCTGTGAGAGTGAAGGGCCACTGCCAGGAGCACCAGTCCTTCATTACCAGCTGAAAGTTTAACCTCTTTGCCTCACAGTGGAGCAGCTTGGTGGATTATGGCTATCCCAATGCTTCTTAACTGAACTCCCACCTTAGCTTTGGCACCCATGTCTTCCTCCCTCAGCCTGTTATCATTTTATCCAGTGAAGATTTGGTTGCGGTCTGAGTCATGCTCCCATTTGGGGTTCAAGGCCAGTGGAGAGCTTCCAGAAACTTGACTGCACTGAGTCACAAGACAAGCCAGCTAGATTCTGCACGTAATCAGAGGAAATGCACTTGTTCTCCCCCACCATAAACACCTCTGAGCCATGCAGTGACAACCAGCAAGGGACTGGCAATGTAGCCAGAGATGGAGAAGAGCTTGGGCCAGGCTCAGCTGGACTTCTTCTTGGTGGCTGGTCTATGAAGAATGTTCTGCGTGCAGTTTGCATGGGGTACTGACACTATGCAATAAAGCAGGGACACCTCTTTTTTTGTGCGGAGGGATGCACATGTGATAGGAAAGAAAGGGAGTAGGAGGGGTCTAAGGGGAAGGAAGGGCATACGGAAGCAGTAGGCTCTGTATCCAGAGGCAATGGTGTGGCTGACTTACAGAGAGTCTCTGGAAGCTTCCATCTTTTCCCCATCCCTCCCTTTTGAGGGCCCATAATCCCAGGAGCAGAGAATCATAAGAAGGTGTTGCTATTTTGCATGGAGTTTAAAATGCATGGCGATCCAGTGCAAGATTGTGGAGTTAAAAGATGTAAAATACACGGTAAAGGCTTGAATTTCTTATTAAACCAACATACTCATTCTGAAAGGATTGTAACATTAGCACACATATCTTTCCTCACTTCTTGTGAGATAGATACAAAGACTGAGGCATTTGAAAGCTTTTGTATCTATTTCAGTTAAATATATCCTATCGTGTCTTCTAAACCCAATGAATGGTAGCTTAACTGTGGTTTGGAACAAGCAAGTTCAAACCATGAATTACGATGCTGAGTAGTTTCGACAAACTACAATTAAGGTTAGCCACATCTTAAGAGTCGACCACTCTTAATCAAGGATAGAAGGAAAGCAATTGGTTGATCTTCTCCACATGGAAAAACTAGAGTGGAAAGAGAAGCACATGAGCCCTCGGGAGGCTTGGTATTTCTCAAAAGATTATGCATGCTTGAATCTAGCTTTTGCTTCCGCACATCATGTCTATCATCATGAAATAAATTCCAGGACCCTGCATGATCAATTTAAACATATATAGGGAAGTTTTACTTGGACAATGTCTATTGCCTATGCAGTCAAAGGCTGTTCTCCAAAAGTGGTGGGAACCTGAGGTATTCAGTACATGCCACAATAATGTCATGGCATGACATTATTGTGCAGCGTGACATGAAACAGATACACATTTCCCTAGCAGTGCTAGGAATGGAAGTAAGGACATTTCTTGCAGGCAACAGGACAGGTGTTCTATGTTCCATGCAGAGTTCAATGAGCCTAACCACAAGTGGTAAAAGGTCATGTTACATGAAGGAAAGAGGACAGAACTGAGAACATACATGTGGGAACTAATATGACACAAATCTGATTTTTTTTTGACAGGTTCTCTCAAGGCACATTCCTATGAGCAAATATTCAATAAAACTTTATTCATGTTTGGCAGCCAAAGACATAAATGCTGGATTTCCTACCCCATAAGAGCAGGTATGGATCCATCTGGTTTAGTATCATCTAATGTTACTGAAATGGGAGCCTCATCATCCACAATGATTGTGGCACCACACAAACCTGACAGGAAAAATAAAAGTAGGATGACCACCAGAAAAATGCAAACCAGAGCATAATTTCCTGGCAAATATTTTCAATGATCCTTTGCAAACTTTTACATTCCTTGTTAGCAAATAAACATTTAGAGATATCCTGCCAAATCTTCCTGTTTCTAACCTTCCAAGGGATTTGTGAAAGCAAATGGAACCCTTTAATCTGATAAAGTGTAACTAACTCTTACACTACAATTCACTATGTCTTGTGTAAAGAAAGAGTATATCAATGCTGGTGTTTGTCACACATCCATAAACCAGGCCAGGCCTATGCAAGGCAATCTCAGCCCCCTAGCCATATATTACAGCCTGTCAGATGGTTGCTGATTAACCCCCCCCCCCTTTTTTTTTGCAGCAAAAACCCTTTTTCTGTGGTCGTTCATATTATGTGAAGTTTGGTCTGAAGGTATTAGAACATTCTTAACTGCCCTTAAACAGATTCCACACGTACCCAACTTCCTCCAGAAGGCTTCTTTATAGTACATCATGCATTTAATAACAGAACCCATGGGGAGGCGCTGGATTAATTGGTTTCTTATTGTTGGCAGTTCTGGCGTGAAATGAATCTTTTCAGTCAATATTGGTGGAATGGCGCTAATGATATACTTGCCCTGTTAAATACAACACAGGCAAACATTGGACACATTTTGAAAACCATTTCTATATTTTAATTTATTTTGATCCTTTTCAGAGTCTCTGGTGTTTCTAAAAGACTTTAAAACAATGAAAATACAATTGCAGTTCAAAGAGCTTCTTCTCCTTCACCTTCTCCTTTACTACAGCTCATTCTGGGATGTCTCTTTCAGGATGTATTTTCCAGAAGATTAATCACAGAAGTCAAAGATTAGCATTTCTTGCAATATGTTAAAGACATATCTACTGTGGCATAAGTACTTCATTCAAATTAGAAATACTGATGTGTATATAGCATGTTACAGCCTTCTAGATACATTCATTCGGTATTTCATTAATCCAATATTTATACTGGCATAAAAGAAAGCTACAACTACTGTACTGATAGTCCAGTGATGCAATCAAAACAAGAAAACAAGACACATGGAAGACAGTGAAATGTCAGGAGCCAATTACAGTATCACATGAGAAGAATCTCTTATAAATATATCAGTAAAACCAACTTGAAAAGCTTCTTGAGTAATACGAAATGCAGAGCTACATACAATAGTGGGGCTAATTACATTGGGCTAAAAGCTGTATCAGGCATGTTCCCTTTTAAATGCATACTATTTTAATTTTATTTAATTACCTTATATATCTCATGGTTCAGTGTCTCCACAATGACATTATCACCTGACTGGTCAACGTGGACTACAGGACTCTCAAGTTTTACTTTATCTCCAAGTAGTTCCATTATCTTTTCTGTAATTTGTCCAGAACCTCCAATAAACTTCCTCTCCTAGGAACAACAAACACGTCAGCAAAATGAGAAGACAGTGTTAAGATACATAATTGGTACAGTGTAGCTCAGTTCAGCTTAGAGTAGGCTATCCACTAAGATTTTCAAGTAATCATAACAAATTAATATCGCAAAATATTTTGAGGAACTGGACTGCAAAATAAAAAAGGCTTTTGCTAGAGGAATGACATCAAAGAAGTCCCAGCTGACTGAGGGCGGTTACCTTGGGTTTTATCTTTGCTTCTATGTGGTTATGATTGTTTTTTGATATTGGTCTGATTTCACTTTTTTTTTTTAACTTCTTTTCGCCTGACGTTATACACCAACTAAAGTCCTTTGGAAGTGGAGCAGGTTATAAGTATGGTTGGCAAGTAAATAAATAAATGTCAGCTAAATTCATCTACAACTACAAATCAAACTATTCCTGTGAATACTATATTCCTCTCTAGGAATATACATACGTAAGTTAGGCTTCCTTAACTTAGTGATCTGTCAGTGTGATGCGGCTACAATTCCCAGAATACTCAATCAGTATGTTACCCTAACTAGAAATTCTGGAAGTAAAAGTCTCAATACACCTGCAGGGCATCAGGTTGGGGAAGGCTACCTTCGGGTAAAAGGCCATAAATGATGCTGAACATGAAGGAAGAGTTTCATCATGATCACCTCATATAGCTGATGATCTGAAAAATAACCAGGGAAGAAGCTTGCTACAAAAAAGACATGCACTGATGTTAGCTCTGATAACTCTGCTTATCAAAAGAGAGATGGGGATAAAACAGAGTGGCATCTGCCCAATCTTGCTGGGTGGCCAGCAAGGTTCATCAGTTGGGGGTTCTAAGCACAACCCAGATCCTGATCCTCTAAAACCCAAGTCCAGGAACTATGTCTTATGTTTCTGATGCCTACGTTACTGGAAGGGCAATCCTTCTACAGAAAACCATGTCCTCCTACAGATTTATATCTCCAAGTGTGGGCTGCTAACAATCTGCTACAGTTGCTCTGGCCCTCATAGCAATAAATTGCAGGACAAATTTTGGGGTATGAATTTGGAAGAAACAACACAGGCTTCAGTGTTGTGTTTATCCGAGCTCTCCAACAGGTTTTTAGTTAAAAGAAGAGAAGGTCCGACTGCTTATCAGGAAATACGGTTGTATTGAGCATGGGAAGTAGCTAAAAGAATCATATTGAGAAATTGGAAATGTGTTATTATTCCACATGTCAAGGAATAGTTGTCAAAAATGTGTGATCTATTTTGGAAAAGGCAATATCCTCTATCAATCAAAGGATGCACCAATACGTGTTACCTTGGCAAAGATTTTGTGATATTTCACAATAATATTTTGAATTGATTGTATTATAGTAGGATATTCATTACTAAACAAGTGACTATTGATAAGTATAAAATATATTCCCTTTTCTTTCTTAGTTTGTATTTTTAGTTTGTGTCATGATAAGCACAAAGCTGAACTCCATAAAGCAGAAGACTCAGAACTCTGTGCCCTGAATAATTGCAGCAGGGACAAAATTGACCCTATGGCTACCAAATTGAATGATGGCGCTGGAAGCCCTCCCTCCTTGAACTCTGATTTCTTTGTTTGCTTCTTCCAAGCAGTGGGTGATGGAAAGAAAACTCCTAAATATTTAAAGTCCTTAACTTGTTCAATGTGAATACCAAGTGTTTTCTATTTCTGAAATAAGTTAACATGCCTCTTGGTAAGTATGAGCAACATTTTGGACTGCTTTTTCTCCTTGGGGGGATGCTGGGGGGTTCTCCTCCAATTTTCTACACTAACTTTTTGTTTGTTGATCGCTGAAAAAGAGCAGGAATTGTTCTGCAATGTTCCCTGGTTGGTCACCCAATTTTAAATGAAATTTAAAATTATGGGAGTTTTTACAATGACTTTTGACCAGCAATGAATTTATTATCTCCTAAGTTAGAAGCAGTGTGGTTTGGGGCTGCTGGAAATTATATTCATGAAAATGGGTCCTTCCTGAATTGCATACTTCTTTGTCTGACTCTGAGCATCCTCACAGAGAAGACTCGCTGGCCTAATAAAGATAATGTCTCTCTTATTTTTTAAATTAATTTTCTTATGGCTAAATTGCTCCCGTTGTGTTTTATTTGCTAAATTACCTTCAGTGTTACAGAAGTCTTTCTTGTGAACTCTTATTTCTATAAAACCCATTTACGAAACCGATTTGTTTCACTACATCAATAAGCAGTAGGAACTGAAAGATAAGAAAGCCAGAAGAGGCTAAGAATAAACAATGAGAAAGGTCTATTCCTAACAGGACAACACTTAATCAGGAATTAATGTGCTATAAAATTCCGACAAGCAACAAAAACATCAGCAAGCTCTGTAACAGTCAGAGGCATAATTTAATGGAGCTCATGAGAAAACAGACAGTAGAGAGTAGCATTTCTGCATGTCATTTTACCTAATGCAAGCAAAGAAAAAAAAAGATTTCATTTTAAACAAATGAAATATTAATGCTATTCAGGGTTGGCAGTAGCACTGTCTGTAAAATTCTCATCCTTTTCATTTTCTTATAAATATAGGGACTAAATTGAAGGATATGTCTAAAAGATAGGAACGACAGATGTGGAACAAATTTAATCGGACAAGGCAGAGAAAGTACCGAAAGGCCAAATGACAGGACAAGAGAAGGATTTGGAAAAGGACTCTTTACTGGATATACAAAAGAAGCTGGCTGAGGTTTTAAAAATTAAAAGGGAAATATAAATGATAAACCAAGAGAATGACCTGGAAAATGTTTTCTTACTGGATTTATGAAAGAGGCTTGTTAAAGCCTTGAAGAAAACTGTGTGATGGGA